GCCTCCGTGTCCCTCTCCCAGCCTGTCTGCTGCCCCTTGATGTCCCGGCCCCAGGCCGGGCCCTGGACATCCAAACCTGAACCGCACCCAGCCCTCCTTCCACTGCTGCTCAGTCGAGGGTCTTTTCTCACACGCACAGCTGTTCACACAGCCTCCCTCTCCTACACTCGGCCCAGATGCTCAGACTCACTGGGTCCCTCAGGAACCTCGCCGGTGTCTCTCTTCAATGGGACCAGCTGCACCTTGACCTGCAGGGTCAGCCCTCCCAGGGACCCTCTGGCGGAGCCTTTGAGACCAGTCCCCACCTGGCAGCGAGGTCTCTGCCCAGCCTGGAGAGGCTCTCATCAGGTCTGGGAAATCCCATCCCTCTGTGCTCCTTATGGCTGAGCCAGTCTACATGCCAGGATGTGAGAAACAGCGAGGCTCCAGCCAGTATGGGCCAGTCCCAAAGTACCTGTATCTGGAGAGCTCAGGCCACACGCTGGACAAGGGCCCACCTAAAGCCCCAGCCCAGGGCCCAGGAGAGGCAGGGCTCCTGCTGGCCATGGCTCAGTTCTCCCAACTCCTCAGGGACTCAGCAGGGCACTCCCAGGCCAGCTTCCAAGATGGGCAGGGGCTGGTGGGGGATTCTGAACACTCTCTCCGCCTTCCTCTAAGCTAGCTGGTAAAGCTTTCTTGCCTTAGCACAAGGCAACAAGCCCGAGCAGCCATAGGCGTGGTGGTAAGGGGGAGACAGGAACCATTTTCCCCTCATCCCTCTGCTCTGGGACTCTGACTGCCCCAGGCTGTGGTGCACCTGAAGTCCCTGCTTCGAGCCCACCCCAGACAATCTCTAACACCACCCCGGTCCTTCCAAGCACCTGCAACTAAGGCCCAGCATGCTTTCAGCTGCCCTCTGTGCTGGTCCCTCCCTTGCTGGCAGCTGGAGAGTGGTCGGCTCTCACTGCTGTCCCCAAGCTTGCCTTGAGAAGACCCCTGATCTTTTCTTAGGGTCCTCCTGCTGTTAAGGCTTCTGAGAATCCTGAGATGGGAAGCCTGGAAGCGCCATTTGTTAAAATACCGTCCGGACAAAGAAACGCTGAGAGATTACAGCTCAGCCTTGTTGCCGGAGTTCTGTCACATTGCAGTGGCTGTTATTTTGAACGACTGCTTAGGAGGTAGGTGACCCCAAAGATGTGAGCTGTCCTGACAAATCCCCTCTGGTTCTCAGAGGCCCCCGTCTGAGGGTGAGGAGTCTAGGATTCCCCTTCCTGGAAGGGCTCGCCCACAATGCCCGACTGCACTAGCTGATGGGCCAGGTACTTTGTTTCTCTGTGTTCTATCTGGGAATAAGAATACAGCCTACTTCCTAGGCTGTTCCCCTAAGACTGGTGCCTGGTGTAGTTTTCACCCTTCTGAAAGGACTCTGGATTCTGCAGTGGATGAAACCCTTGTACTTGAAACCACTCCTCCCAATACCCACCCTATGGTGATTGACAGCGGGTGCCACCTTGCCGGCTAGTTCTTTCTTTATGTCCGGAAGGGCAAACCTTCCACTCTACCCCTTCATCCAGGAATGTCTTCTACCCATAGGTTCTAACCTGGACTGTGCTCGAGTTGCACTGGGATGCAGGAGGGACAGCTGGTGGGAGCCTGAGCTGGAAGGACCCAAAAGGCACCTGTGGCTCTAGCCTGGTAGTAAGGTGAGCATGGAGGAGGGGACAGCAGTTGGGGGAGGGGCAAGAAAAAACCAGGCTAAAGGTGGGCTTACTCCACCTGTGCCCCCACACCCCTAGAAGTCACTTCACCCAAAACACTTGTTCTGGAAGAGCAGCTGAGTGTGTGTGTGTGTGTGTGTGTGTGTGTGTGTGTGTGTGTGTGTCTGGAAGAGCAGCTG